TCCCCCCATCATAGATGGTTCAGCCACGCCGATGCCATGAAATGATTGAGAATTACAACATAGACTTTATGTCTGCTTCCATAAGTGCTTATATTCAAAAAAATCAATTCAAACTTTAATTTGATGTAAAAAAACTCAAATCAATTACGACGCAACAGTAAATAGAGAAAATATAAACAAATCGCCGTCACTAACTGCAAATAATATACATTGTGAATTCACAGAGAAAAAGAAGAGAAAATTCTCAAAAATATGATCATATATGTTAGATTGATTAAAATCTATAGTAAATAAGGCAATTTATAGTCATTCTCATTTTTATCACTAACGCCAACAATCTCAAAATTTGTGTCTTTTGTTTTTGTAGTTTTGCATCCATGTGATGCTCACACACATCCAATTATTTTTCAACAGAAAGAAAAGTCTTATTACTTTCTAAAACTCTAACAGCATCACAAGTTTGCACATCATTACAAACAAAGAATTACGCGTTTCATGAAAATCAACCAAGACTTTGTTGTCTTTCTTCTCATCAAAATTCATAAGATCATTTGTGTATTATTTTCATGTTTCTCATGTTGAGAATCTTCAAGAAGCTCCCTTATATTACCATAAGTCCAGTCGATCTCCTCACTGGATTCAATATTTTTTTTTTTTTTTTTTTTGATTTGTCTTGTTTTGCAGGTGCCCCTGACCTAGACCTTGTGGAGGTGATGAAGGTTGAACAAATAATCAACGCTGAGTCTATGCCCTTTCTTGAGCTAATAACATCAGACAACTTCTTTCTGTTCAGCGCTACAAGAGCTGTAATAGATTTTGTTTCTTACCCAGACTCTGATTTCTCCCTTTCGGAATCTGATGATGGTGAGGGTGCCAGTACCTCTGTCAAGAAGCGTAAGAGGGGTGGTTCTTCAAATAACTCTTCTTCTTCCTAGTCTTCGTTGGGAACTGTTCTTTTTTCTTCAGCTGGNCACTTAATTAACTATAAATTTTTTAACACACTTTACATTACAGACACATCTAGACAGGTTTTTGATATGTCAAATTTAAGTTTTTAAGTTACAAAAATTGTGAAGATTAAGTTACATAATCAAACAAATGAGTCANATCTAGACAGGTTTTTGATATGTCAAATTTAAGTTTTTAAGTTACAAAAATTGTGAAGATTAAGTTACATAATCAAACAAATGAGTCAATTATTTATATAGAGAAAAATATTCTCCATAATATGAATAATGAAGTTATCATACAACGTTTTTAAAGTATGAAAACTTATCGAAATCAATTATAAATAATTATAATTAGTCTCTTTTCATTAATTTTTTTGTTTATGCTATGCATATCGATGTTGAACTATAACAAATTTTTGAGTATCAAATATAATATACTAAATTTAAATGTGCTATATTACTTTTATTAAGTGAAAGAAAAAAAATTAGGTTTATAGTTAAAGTGTCCACCCTAAATAAAATTTTTATCTTCGCCAATGATTTACCCGATTGCTTCAACTCTCTTTGTTTGCTTATGAATCAATATGCACTATACTTATACTCTATCTTCATACGGATTATAATATGAAAGTGCAAATCTCGTTTTTAATAGTTGCTTCATCTTTTGCTAACTTCAAATTTTTGTTGATTTGCACTTGATGATTTCAAATGTTCTCATCACTGATAAGTCATGCCTTTCAAGTTGTATGCCACTAAACCGACCTTTCTCTCATCAGGAATCTCATAATCAAAAAATCGTTCTACTTTGGATAACTAATCAAAAAAATCTTCTTTGTTAACATAACCACCAAAACTGAGTGGGTTAACTTTAAATCTTCTTTGTTAACATAACCACCAAAACTGAGTAGGTTAACTTTAAAAAAAAAAAAAATTAGACTCAACCTCTAATACAATCCTAGCCACTAAACATGCCTGCAGCATACTCTTCATCATCATTATGGAATCCACATTACAAATAAGTTGAATTCTAATGGGGATAGGATTAGGATTGAGAGTTTGAATAAATTGAACAGGAGTCCTATCGTTGTTGTAAACCCTATTCTAATTTGGATCCTGATTGTTCCAAACAATGACTAAACAACCAGATTATGGAACTTATGATAGGCGTGCTCAGACGAACGTTGAGAACTAAAGAAGTTGGCTCTCAAAAGAGCCCTTTCTGCATAATAACTTTTACAAAAAAAATTGTCACTCCACTAATTAGAAATCATGTCAAATTAGTCAAGACTTTGATACCATTTGACATAATAGTAAATGGAGAAAAACATAAAGAGATCACCGTCCCGAATTGAAAAAAACACGCACTCTAAATCTATAGACAAAAAAATTAGTTTAATAAAACAAGTAGTACATATAATAATTTATAGGCATCCTCAAATCCCTAAAGGTTTCAAAAATGGTCTTAAATCACTAATCTTAAAAAAATAATTTCCAAGCAAAATGAAAAAAAAACTAAAATTAAGTAAAACACACATCTAAGGGAATTATGAAAATTAGCATAGTCTCGAATAAAATAAAAATATACAAATTGTTGATCTTGTTCAAAATCAAATTCATCGGGCAATACTGCACTTGTGGATATAGACCTCATTTATTATAAAGGAGAATTACATCCAGATCTTATGAAATTTATCATTTAATTACTCAAACCCTTGAAATCTAAAATATTACATACAGGCTCTCTAAATTTTGTATGCGCATAACACTTAGATCTCTGATATGTGTTAGTAAATTACACTCAGACCCCTTAAAGTTTGTAGGTATATAATACTTAAACCCCTCAAGTCTAAAATATTATACTTGGACAAAAAATACTCCAATAAAAGATAGAATATCAAATATTTTAAATTTTATAACCAAAAGTCATGTTCTATTGTATTATTTGTTGAAATAAAATCAAAATCAAAAATCTATTTTTATTACATAATTACATTATCTATTGGAATAAAATTAAAAAAATCAAATAAGGGGTCAAACTGTAATGAACGCAATATCTTCTAATTTTAATTGGGATAATTTGATAATTTAATTTGGTTAATAGATAGTATAATTGTATACTAATTATATTTTTTAAAGAAAAATTAATTTTTTATTTTTTATTTTATTTTAATAAATGTCATAATAGAATATGAATTTTAGTTATAAAATTTAAAATATTTTTTATTCTATTTTTTATTGGAGTATTTTTTATCTAAGTATAATATTTTAAACTTGAGTCTAAGTATTACACGCCTATAAATATCAGGGGGTCTGAGTATAATTTATTAACAGATGACCGAGATCTAAGTGTTATGTGCATACAAATTTTAAGGGGATTTGTATGTAATATTTTAAATATTATGGGGTCTGAATGATTAAGTGACAAACCTCAGGAGGTATTTGTGTAACTCTCCCTTATTATAATGAAATACTACAGGTTCCGATGGTCTGCATACTACGGTTTAAGTACCCAATCCTGCAGGCTATATGCAACCAGTTTTTCAAAGGTAGGAAAAATAAACAGGTTGTTGTTACTTGTACATCACTATTCTTCTACCGAGATAGTTAATTTTTTTTTTTTTTGGAACTGAAGGCTGAATCAATCAGCAACCATCTCACTGCTAGAGAACGAACTCTCCTATAGATGTGCTAAAGAAGATGACCCAGAGTAACGGTTCAATCTATTTATCTTCTCTCAGATGAGCGATTTTAAAATTAGAAATTTTTTCGCAAGAGCACCGTCACATTCCACTCATCTTACAGCATCTAATTTCACTGCTTTTATTTCCAGTGCCATCATCTGGAAGATGGTGTTGATTGATCTCTTCAAAACAGTAATGAAACTCCTGGACATATTCTACTGGAAATAATGAGGCTATAAACTATAAAGTTGCAAGATAAAAGAAGCAACCTATATTTGTATTGGGAATCTTAATCATACATTTGAGAATCGAAAAATGTGTTGAATTAAAAATTGTAAATTTCAACACAAAAATCGAACAATAATAAAAAATAACAAGTACATATCTAAAGTACGTGGGCAAGATATTAAATATTGAACATTCTTATACTTTAAAAATAATCAATTGTCGGTGTTGACATAATTACGTCCTCTAAATAGAAAAATGATAGTATTTATAAATCTTTATACAGTTTACACTTAAGTTTGTAAATCTGTTACTTATTTCTTAATGCATAATAAATCATTTCCTCAAAATGGTCACGATGAAAGGTGCATAATTTTTAACCAATAAATAGTTATTGTCCCATATCAATTAAGTTAAACAAAAATAGAAAAAGTTCATATAAACTTAGAAAATCATTTCCCACATTCAATTGAAAATTAAATTTTTGATGAAAAATAAAAAAATAGAACATTTATTGAAGAAGAAGAAGAAGAAGAAGAAAAAATGTATGTTAGTGTTTGGTAACTGTTTTTGAATAAGAAGAAGAAACATATCTAGAGTAAAGGAGATGTCATCTTTGTGTGATGTTCACCTATACTTGAATAGGAGATATAAAGAGAAGTGCAAGTTTTATATTTGACAGTGAGCCTCTTCTAGCAACACGACATTGTTTTACTAAAAATAGAGTTGAAAAAAATAATAAAATAAATCGTGCAATTCTTTTGATTCGAATTGAATCGTACTATTTTTGCGATTTTCGATCAAATTGAATAGGAGAATCAACGGAAGCCGTCGAACAACTACTACTAGATTTCGCGACTGGTAAAAAATTCTTCTCAAAAGTTACTAAATTTTGAATCCCTAACCATAATTTTTGTACTGCTTCAGCCTTTATTCACAATACTTGCCTTCTGCTAAAATTGAGCCTCTCCCACGGAATACCTTGAATGTCTTTGTCATTTCTAGCTTCCAGAGCCGATGTATCAGTCTTTGATTTGTTCTATAAACCAACAAAAACCAAAACATCACCGCACCTATACTGTAAAGTGCACATTTCATTCACAAATACTACTCAAGAGTCTACAGCTATAAAAAATAGTATCGATTAGAGCAAATAGGGTAATAACATCATCCAAATTACCAGTTCGAAGTCATCCTCAAAGTACGAGTCCAAAGAGTCATCAACACCACCGCTGCGTGGCGATTCATCGTCTTCAAAAGGGTTATCAGCGAAATCGGTAGTGTCATAGTAGTCATCAACTATATATTCAAGTTCGTGGTTGTGAAATTGCGCCATTGATCTCCTACAATCCGAAGCTTTTATCTAATCAGCAAATGAAAAACTACACTTGACTAACTTAAGTATCCACATATAATAATAAAACTAGCAAAACCTTATTATGAAAAATTCTAATTCTAAATACATGGGTTAACTACAAAATGCTCTCTTTAAGTTTGGGTCATATTACAATTGATTTCTTCTAATTTTAATTTGAACAAATAAAATGATATCATAGACAACTCTACAATATGGGGTTTAGTTACTTACAATCAGAGGAATAAATGGCAGCCAAAAATGCAAGTTCCACTCTGTTCATCAAGAAATCATCGGTGAAACAACCACCCCCCATCCCTCCCCCCCCC